AGATTTGGATAAGCAAATACTTCCATTGTTGAAAGCCACTCAGGTATTTTCATGTATATTTTATGTTTAATTTTCTCCCATTCTGAAAGTAGTATGTTTCTTATCGCATGATTCTGAAAGTACTTATGTGCTTTAGATTTCTCATACCACATAAAAGCATGCCAACCTAGCTGAAGGTCATGTCCCTCTAAATAAAGCAATCTTTTATTTCTCAATACAATCCATTCTTTAAGCCAAAGCAAAATAGCCGCTTGATAGTAAAGTCTCCAATCTGGAAGTCCAAAGCCCCCTCTATCCTTAGATTCTTGTAACAATGTACATTTGATTCTCGCCTTCTTTTTTGCCATATAAATCTTAAAATCATTGCATTTAAATCATCAAAAAAATTCTTAGTAAGTTTAATAGGCACTGTTTGAAATAAGAAAATTAGCTTTGGTAAAATGTTCATCTTAACCATCGCTATTCTTCCTAAAAGTGATAATTGAAGATTTCCCCATCTTTCCAAGTCCATTTTTATTTGTTTCATTAATCTCTCATAATTATCTTCTTTTAGTGTAGTATATTTCGCCGTTAAATATCCAAATATTTAACTTTTTTAACTATTTGAAGATTTGTCATTTTAGTAAGTTGAGCTTTCTGTTTGTCTGTTAGATTTTTTGTTATTACTTTAGTCTTTTTCCCTGTTTATTTTCAGACCAGCCACTGCTCCAAATTTCTCAATTTTCTGCAAGAGTTTATTAGCTGTTTGCAATGGCTCCTCTAGAATGAAGACCAAGTCATCCGCAAAGGCCTGTAGTTTATATTTCTGATCTTTAATCTCCAGGCCTTTAATTTCTGTGTCTTGTCTGATATTTCTTGCCAAAACCTCTAGTGTAAGAATAAACAACAGAGGAGACAACGGGCATCCCTGTCTAGTGCCTTTTTAAATCTCAAATCTATCTGTGTAATCTCCATTTAAAAGTATTCTTGCTGTTTGTTTCTTATAAATTGCTTGAATTGCTTTATTAAAATTTTCACCAAAGTCCATTTCTTGAATTTGTTGAAACATAAATTGCCAATTTAAGTTATCAAAGGCTTTTTGTGCGTCAAGAAATATAAGTGCCATCTGGTTCCCTGGATGGATTTCATAGTACTCCAGAACTTTTAAAATAATCCTCAAGTTATTCTTTATCTGTCTTTTTGGTAGGAAACCATTTTGGTCTGGGTGTATAAATTCATTCAATTTTTTTTTCATTCTTTCTGCCATTATTGCAGCAAAGATTTTGTAATCCACATTTAATAGCGATATTGGTCTGTAATTTTTAATTAGTGTATGATCAGTATCTTCTTTAGGTATCAAAGTAATATTAGCTTCAGTCCATGAGTCCGGTATTTTTGTATGTGTAAAAACTTCATTACATAAGTCTTTCAGAGTTGGAGTTATAGTATCTTGTATCGCTACATAAAATTCAACAGGAAGACCATCAGGTCCTGGTGTTTTATCTTTCTTTTGCTTTTTTATTGCCAGGACCTGAGGCCTTTTTGAGTTACAGTGTCATATACCAACCAATATAAAACACTGTCCAAAATAACATTTAAAAATTATGCCTTTTAAATTCAGTGTTACCCAAATAATTGATTAGTTCTCAACTTATGACTGGTTGCTTGGAAGCTACAATGGACCCCAAAATATACTTATAACCTGGTTCTGAAATTCTGATAGCTGTCCTCTATGGTCACTTGACTGCATTTTGGGTGCTCAGCAATTTACAACATTTTTACTTAAAACTGGTGCTTACTTCTTTTTTTTTTTTTTTAGCAAAAAGCCCCATAGTGAACAATGGTTTTGCTTAGTGGCCACCACAAAAAGAAGCTATAAAATCAGTTCGGTTATGTGAAGACCTGCTTTATGACCTTCATAGTTTATAACCATAACAAACAGGCTCCATTAAGTTGTAATTTGAGGGCTACCAGTAATTCCTTCTGATTGGCAGTAGATGGGTTTTCTTGACAGTAACAGGGAGCTGTTTTTAAAGGACATTGTAGAAATAATGAGAATGGAATGGAACGGAACGGAATGGAACGGAACAGAACAGAACAGAATAGAAACTTTATTGTTATTTTAAATATATACTAAATCAGCATACATTAAAATAAAATTTTGTTGCATTCAGCTCTTAAAAAAAACCCACCATTATGCATATATCCACATACACACACATATGACACAGAGAAACTTCATTGTCTAGTTTGAATGTATACATATAAATGGGGAAAAAAAGAGAATCCTGTTAATTTACAAGACGGATGGCATAAGGAACAAAGCTGTTACAAAATCTAGTAGTCCTGCTATAAATACTTTGAAACCTCCTCCCAGAGGGGAGCAACAGAAACAAGCCATGAAGTGGGTGTGGGGATCTCTAACAATGCTCTGAGCTCTAAGCACATAGTGCTTATAAGCAACATCCTGAATAACAGGAATCGAGCTTCCTATAATCTTCTGTCCTTACCACTCTTTGTATGGGCCTTTTATCTGAGGCACTGCTACCATTAAACCAAACAGTGATGCAGTTGTTAAAACACTCTCAATTGTGCCTCTGTAAAAAGTGGCCAGGACAGAAAGAGAAAGATGTGCTCTCCTCATCCTGGTTTGCACACTTCATTAAAGATAACGTATGAAGAGACCAAGTCAGATTGTTAGTTATCTGCACCCTCAGGTACTTAATACTATTGACCACCTCCACAGCTGCAGCCTTGTGGATATAAGCAAGTTTTCTTATTATTTTCTTTTAAAAATAATTATGCTCTGATATTATACAATAATAGAACTCATATGCTAAATGAATAAATACATAAATAAATCCAATAATAGGAAATATTTAAATATATATTTATTTACCCTAACATCCTGATCCCTGAAACTCTTACTTATGAGCATGTAATTGGTCAATGGTACATTCTCATTTTGATAGCTACTTCTAGCTATTTTCCACGTCTTTGTTCAGAGTGTTTACAATATTCACTTTCATATTCTAAATAGGTCTATCTTCACATACACCATCCCAACAACCCACTGCCATCTTTGCTGACACATTTGTCTTCCTCTTCATTGCAAAGAACAAAAACATGGAATTTCTTAATCTGATGGGAAGACAGGTTGCCACTGGATTACTTTCCCACCATCTGTGCTTTGCCTTCTGAGGTTGCCTGTTAGCAGCACTCTCTTGAAGCTTAGTTACTGTTTACATGAATAAGATAAGAAAAAATGATGTTTGTCTTTTGCGGATCAATAGAGCAACTCACTTGAAAAGACTGTGTTACCAGAGACACCTAAAACAAAACCATATTGAAATGGTAAAACCCTGTATTTGAAAACAACGTAAAATTACTGAATGAAGAACAAGAATACTACAGCTTATAGTTCCAGACCCTTTGATTTTCATGCTCTTTTCAACAGGGCTAAAATATTGAATTTTTAAAAATAAAGTCAAAGCAACAGTCAACTTACAACCTTCTTTTAAGGGTTAAGCACGACATGGTAAATTAGTTTGATGGTAACATTACAATGAAATGTAGGTGAGCTGAGGCAAGAGACAATCCATAGTATACAAAGCAACATTTATATAAAATATATGAATTCTTTCACCACATTCTCACATACAAATATACAGCAAACTTTCAGTATGTGCAACTATAATTATAATAGTTCTATCTACACTGTGTAAATATTTTATTGCTTTTAATCTTTACCCTCAAACGTAAACAGGATAATACCATTGTCAAAAAGTGACTTTCTCACTTGGTGGAAAACAACCTTATAATTTATTTAGACAATAAATGGCTTTGGTTGAACAATGACATAAATTTATGTTCCATTGCCATGATCTGCCTGCTATAATTCTCACAACAGGATATGAAGCATTCATATTTTGGAAGTGTGTCAGCCTACATAGAGAGAACACACTATGAATAGGCTATCTCAGTTTCAGTGTTACTGTGCACAGTGCTATTGTGACATTGCAAACCCTGGAAAATTAGATTGTACAGTATGTTGGGTGGAGAAGTTCCATGAAAAAAGGAAGCTTCTATGTGGACAATGATAAGAACAAGGATAGGGGAGCAATCTACAAAGTTACTATCTTCCATTTTCTCAAGTACAAAGTTTCATAGTTTAAAAATAAAAGAAGAGAACACCAGTACAGATACAGTTGCTGTTATTAATCTACTTTACATTAAATAGTGACATGTAGATTATTTAATGTGGACTCTTTTATCTCATTGTTATTACTGTTCAATGACACTTAGCTAGGTATTTCAAAATCTGAGAACACCTCTGTCAATCCCCCCTCCCCCCCCAAATCTATCTTGGAGAAACAATCTAAACCTAAACTTTAAACAAACACATGAGCTGCTATTTGAAAACATGTATGTATTAAAATGAATGGCTGTTTTGTAAAGGAAAAATGAAGACATATATAATGATTAGCTACAGCAAATTGTGCTTTAACAAATCTAAAATTAATTGCAGAATGGAAATAACTAGAACTTTTCTTTTTTAAATAAATGAAAGCAATATAACGTTGGTTGGTTGTTTCATTTCTGTTTGTATAAACCTGTCATTAATGTTTCATTCTGCTGATAGAAATGTAGAAATACTGTAATCTAATCAGCTAAATAGCAAAAAGGTAGATTTCTACTGAGTCCTATGACTCTCTCAGCAACTGCCCATCTTGAAAATTAGGAAAAACAACATTGCACTGCCTGTGATACTAACTTTACAGAACAATATCAGGGGAAATTCCCATTTTAGTTGTGGCTGATAATAATCTTAGGAGCTACAGATTCCAAAAATTGGATATTTACATTTGAAAACTTTCTAGTTCAGAAAACACTGACATTAGGATCTTCTTTACAGACTCTAGTAACAGACAGATAGTTACTAGACCCATTGATCAACTAAAATAATATATACTATTGCTAACCCCCACCCAGCCTATGGCGGAAAATGGCATACATCATACCTGAGCAATTTCAGAAACCACCACCTGGAAACGTTCTCTTGATTATGTGCAACGTGTCACTCTGGCTATTCTCTAATCATTATATCAAGCTCCAAGGTTCAGCAAACCCCTAGTTGGTTTACAGTTCTATAAGTTAAATTTTAACTGGCCTATCTCTCTGCTCTGTGCAGCCCTTTGACCAGATAGCTAGGTCACTGTTGCTCATTGTCTACAAAAACTGCGTATGTTTACAAAATCCACAAGACACAAGTCAATAGTTGGACCTAAATAAATGTCCATGAGGTGAGAAGGATATCACTTAAAAATTGGTCAGCTAGATTACCTGGGAAAATGTTCAGATACAGAACTTTACCTCCACTAATTTTATCCTACGTTAGAATAGCTCCTTCTGAATTGTCTTCAGAGCTTCAGAAAACCACATCTTTATAAAGTCTATTGTTTTAGTCTAGGTAACAATTTGGAGTAAAGCACATATTCGTGAGGAGACACTTGCCAGTGTTGATAGGCAAGGATCTGAAATATAAACAGAAGTACATAATGTCAAAGAAAAATGAATTTGGCTATAGCCAAAAATATTTTTAGAGCAGTATAAAATTTTTCACTGAAAATTCTATACTCTATTTACAGGCAAGTAAAAGTGAATAAACTTTTGCAGAAGAAAAAAATAGTAATTCTCCAATGATTAGTAGATCATTGGAGTAATAGTAGATCAATAGTAGAGCAATGTAAAACCTTCAAAAGAACTTCATAACATATGGACTGTTTTACGTATCTGTGCACATATAACTACAAATATGCTCTGCAGCAACTACCTAGCTCTGGATTGAGATAAAGATGCAGTTGCTTTAATGAGGAATTTTCCAAGAGAGATGCTTTGAACACACTCCCAAATATTATGAAGCACTTCTTCCAAAAGATTTGTGGAGCTCTGATAATTTCTAGTGCCAAAATCAAGTTTCCTTCCTTCTTTTTAAAAGCTTTGCTATTTTTGTACCATGATGGAGGGGTCTTTCCCGCAACCTTTGAAGGAAGTGGTGGTGAGGCCCCTCCTCAAGAAACCTTCCCTGGACCCAGCTGTTTTGAAGAACTTTCGTCCTGTCTCCAACCTCCCCTTTGTGGGGAAGGTTGTAGAGAAGGTGGTGGCGTCCCAACTCTTGCGATCCTTGGATGAAACGAATTATCTGGACCCTTTTCAATCTGGCTTCAGGCCCGGCTACAGCACTGAGACTGCTTTGGTCGCACTGGCCGATGACCTCTGGTGAGCCCGGGATAGGGGTCATTCCTCTATCTTGGTGCTTCTTGACCTCTCAGCGGCTTTCGATACCATCGACCATGGTATCCTTCTGCGTCATCTCGGAGAGGTGGGGGTGGGCGGCACCGTATTGCAGTGGTTCTCCTCCTACCTCTCTGACAGATCACAGTTGGTGTTGGCGGGCGGACAGAGATCGACCCTAGGTGCCTCGATTATGGGGTGTCTCAGGGCTCGGTCCTATCCCCCTTCCTTTTTAACATCTACATGAAACCGCTGGGTGAGATCATTCGGCGACACGGGGTGAGGTATCATCAGTATGCGGATGATACCCAATTATATATCTCCACCCCGTGTCCTTTCAGTGAAGCAGTTGACGTGATGTGCCGGTGCCTGCAAGATGTGAGGGTCTGGATGGGGGTGAACAGGCTTAGACTCAACCCTGACAAGACCGAGTGGCTCTAAGTCTTGCCCCCCAAGGGTCATTCTGATGCTCCATCATTAGTCCTGGGGGGGGGGGAATTTACCTCCTTGGGTGTCCTCCTGGACTCACAGCTAAATTTGGAACAACATCTATCGGCTGTGGCCAGGGGGACCTTTGCCCAGGTTCGCCTGGTGCACCAGTTGCGGCCTTATTTGGACCGGGAGGCTCTACTCATGGTTACTCATGCCCTTGTCACCTCAAGACTGGACTACTGTAATGCGCTCTACATGGGGCTACCCTTGAAGAGTGTTCAGAGGCTGCAGTTGGTTCAGAATGCAGCCGTGAGAGCGATTGTGGGTGCACCAAGGTACACCCACGTGTCACCTATCCTCCGTGAGCTGCACTGGCTTCCTGTGGGTCTCCGGATGCAATTCAAGGTGTTGGTTGTCACCTTTAAAGCCCTTCATGGCTTAGGACCAGGTCACTTACAGGACCGCATACTGCCGCATAGTTCCCAGAGACCGGTGAGGTCCCACAGATTGGGCCTCCTTCAGGTCCTGTTGGCCAGACAATGTCGGCTGGCGGGCCCTTGGGGAAGGGCCTTTTCTGTGGTGGCTCCGACGTGGTGGAATCAACTTCCCCCCGAGATTCGAACTACTCCCACCTTGCCAGCCTTCAAGAAAGCTATTAAAACTCTCCTGTTCCGGCAAGCCTGGGGCTGATGTCCCCGGCGGGGGCGGGATTTGATTGGGACATGCTGTGTGAATGTATTCATTTTTAATTGTTATACTTGTTGTTTTAATTTTGTACGCCGCCCTGAGTCCCTAGCGATTGGGCGGCATATAAATTTTACTAATAAATAAATAAATAAATAAAAGTAGACTACTTTTCATCTTCCCCAATGGCCTGGGCTAGCACCATTTTAGGCACTGTGGTAAGAAAATAAGACTTCCAAACCTCTCTCTCTCTCTCTTTCTCTCTATCTCTCCATCCAATCCCATCCAACCAACCATCCATTCATCTGTCCATCTCCTAGGAGGTAAAATCCTTGTTAAACATTTTAAAATATTGGTATTTTAAATAAATACAAAGCAAATCAATCTTTCTCAGGACTACTTGAACTCCATTTAAATCTTTACAAAGGTTGTTTTCTGTAGGTCTATGAAATATAGATCTATTACATTATGCACTTGTTTTGATATCTGCTATTCAATGAAATAACTATTTTAAAAAGTGAGAAATAGCTCTTAAGTTAAAAAAATAATATTAGTGTAGTTTATTCAAATGAATATTCACCACGTCTATGTTTTATGTTACTTAAATGGAAAATATTATATGGAATTTATGACTGCATATTTATGATTGAACACATTCAAACCGATACCCAACACTCAAAATGTAATCAAAGGAAAAATAAATATACATACCAATTATTAATCAGGAATCCACAACTTTTGAGGAAATGTAGAGGATTTGGAATCGGGGGCATATCTCAGGGTTTATGCAAAATAACTGTTGCAGGACCTGTCCATTTGCAAATGGCAGTGGGCCTAAAGCAATAATAATTAATTATAAAGTATTAATTAATTAGATTTATTGCAATTAAGCTGGCCCAGTACTGCTACTGCTTCCAACTTATCCTCCCATAGAAACTTATTGTTTTGTAGAGGGGAGAGGTTAAAAAAACCCAAAATGACACCTATAACTATATAAGTGAAGCACTGGTTTTACATGCACTTTCCATCCAATACACATAAAAAAGTATTGTGGCTAACCTATATCTATTGGACTGGTTTAAGGACTTCCCTTTTAACGAATCAAAAGTAATTTGTTTCCTAAGACTAATATTTGTCATCTCCTTACACTGACTCTTCCCACAAACTTGGTCCCAGTGTGTGCGCTCTCCCTCCCTCCCTCCCTCCCTCCCTCCCTCTCTCTCTCTCTCTCTCTGTCTCTCTCTCACACACACACACACAAAATCTGCTATTGTAGTAACAGAAACCAATCAAGTTAAACCAATTAATGTCTTTAATAAACTAGCTACGCTATGGAGATGTCCCTCTAAGCCACTGTATGTTTTAATTTCAGTATGATGAACAAGACCAGTTAGAGAAGGCATGTCCAACCTTGGTAACTTTAAGACCTGTGGATAAAACTGCCCATGCAGCATGGCCCATGAGTCTTAAAGTTGCCAAGGTTGGACACCTCTGATTTAGAGTGTGAGCAAAGCAATATTTTCATCTTTGACTTGCTCTTAATCTGCTGTCCCTCTTCTTTAAAGCTGTTTTTGTCTTGAATATCACTGTCTTGCTTGGAGGCTTGGTGAGATGACTGATCTCTTTGGGACAAAACAGAATTGTAGCCACCACCATCTTGATTTTTTTGACCACTTCCATCTTGGATAGCCCTGTTCCCCTTCTAACTTTTGCTCTTTTTTGCTGCATTTGTAGGAATATCCAAAACAGCCAAAGTCATATTACCATTTTTATTTTTTAAAAAATGTTTGAGGATCAATTTGGGCTCAGAAGCATTTTTGGAAATAAAAGTAACAACGAAGGCTGCTCTACCAGCATCCCCTCACTTTTTTTTAATTATAAGGCTTTAAAAAATGTAAAATTTTACATAGGAGAAAATGCTTGGTAATCGCCACATTGGGAAATTTAGTAATCAGTAGCAGTATCTTCGAATTAAGACTTATCTAGTTTCTATTTCAGCAGAGAAATAGGCTATTTTTGTAGAGATATTAGATAATGGAAACTTCACGAGAGCAGCATCTATTTCTGTTCTCAGACAGGAATCTAATTTCTTTTGTTCATGTCTCATATTATGCTTTCTAAACAGGACACAGTCTTAATTAGTTAGCAGGACATAGAGTTCATAAATTGTTCCTTAGAGCAAGATGATTTAAAATGAGAGATTCTCAGACTTTTCAAAAACAGTATACATGAATATCATCATGGTGTTCATAAGCATAACTATAGACACAAATTGTGATCTGGTAATTGCAGGGGTGCCACGATGGCCAGAACATCAAGGACTGATTCAGCACTGTTGTAAATTTGAATGGTTGCTGAATGAACATTCATTACCTGAGGACCCTTTGTATTTAAAAGGTATTAAAATAGAACAGGATTCACTTATTAATTGGACTGAATTTGGACTGAAGCCTTTAAACCCTCTGATTGGTTTTGTGTAATCAACTAAAATCTATGTGAGAAACAAAATCTGGAACTCCGCACATATATTTTTATTTACTTACTTATTTATGTTTCATTCATTTACCCCCAGTGATGGGGGTTGTCTGGCATCTTAGATTGATGCTATTTGTTTCAGTGGCTCATTTTGCAATCGTATATGTTGAGTCCTCGAGTCAACGGCGAATGAAGAGCACACATTCTGTAATTCCAACAGCC